ACTCATGTCATGGTCGAACATTTGTGCATTACTGTCAGACACCAGGAGCCAAAGCATTGCCGTAAGCAATACCTGTGGCATGACTGGTCGCATTTGCGTGATATCAGATACGGACTCCTTTCATTATTAAAATACTGTCGCTTTAGTTTTTATTTTTCAAAAAACACTAACTCGGCCGTGTACTTAAATGAATCATGTCAACTTACGATTATACCCTGGACATTACAAGACGGCCGGGTTCACAGGTGTCGGCGGCACACAGGATACCGATGGAATCCTTTGTCATTATACGCAGTCGACACGACCACGGTAGCTCCAAAGTGTGTCAACACATTTTCACATCAAAACTCGCGCACTTCACTTCGTACTACTTTCGAACGATCACGACGGACGAAGAAATAAAAATATTTTAAGAACGATACGGAATCCACTGAAATCGCTCTTACGTACAGTGAATATACGCCCGGAAACAATAAACATTCCCTAATAAACCATTACGTCTGGTGCGCCAGCCATTTGCATTTTGTTATAATGAAATTCCCAAAGACTACTTAATAATCATATGGTTCATGGATGTTATAAACAAACGCACTACAATCGATTAAAAATTGTTTCCCGATTACTGGTGAAAATGTTGAAATAAATAAAAAATATATCATCTTATATTTTTACAGTATTTAAAAGCTATAATTATTAAGTATAAACATAAATTATTAATTAATATTAGAAAAATAATTTCTAGGTTACCACCATTAAGTGTGATAAGCAAATGTGGTAGATTTATGGTAGCAGGTATAAATATATTATGATCTAAGGTATAATTGATAATAGAGTATATTATTTATCAACCACGGCATGCATGCTGCGAAATATATTTTGGTATTGGACATTGGTGCAGACGTGCAGTGGCGCAGGCGGCGGCTGCTGTTGTAAACATGTTACCGAGATACTCTACTGTTTGTTGATATCAATTTGAATTTAAAAAGAAAATAATTAGATTGAATAGTGCTAAAGGCTAAACTGCTAATATGATTTTGGTATTTGCTCATGTATATGCGATTTTTTAAATAATATCATATCTTAATTCTGTTTGTTTTAAATAATGATTAGTGGATTAGCAAAAAATAATAATAATCATGAGTAAAAGACCAAGGACGGAACCACCAACTAATGGACAAGAAGATATTTGGGGTGATGATTTTACTTACGATGAAGTTAACTCGATTGTCAACATTGAGTCGTTGGCATCACAATCACATTTTCCTGGTGAGTTACTCAGTACCAAAAATATTTGAATAATCTAAATGTGTAACTAAATATTAATTGAGTTTTTATGTTAATGGTTGAACTTACAAATCACCTTGCAATTTTCCCGAAAATTAACGTTGTTGTTATGGTGATTGAATTTTGCTTAAATGTCCAAAATATGCTTAGCTATTAATTTAATTTATGTTTTTAATGCTAGTATATTTTAAATGACGCGTTCATTGTACAATTTAATACATTTATTGTGAGTATGTCATGGTTCAACCTATATCCCCTTTTATGTTTTAGTTAATTTAAATAACCCTGGTAATCAAAGGGAGAGTCAAATTAGAGAAGGAGAGATCAAAAATTTAAAAAATAAAATTAAGCAGTTAGAAATTCAACTGTGCAACACAAAACAAGAAAAAGATGATAAATTTAAAACCATGAAAAATATTATCGACTGTAAAGATACAGAACTTAAATTCCAAGTTAGCTGTTTATAATCAAAGTGTACTCCAAAAATTAATGCAGATTAAATGTCTTTATTTATTTTTTATAGCAACAAGAAATGACTGCTCTTAAAAATAAAATAAAAGAAATGAATGTCATCAACAAAATTGTCCCTCAGAAAAATGTATCATTTAGCTGTATGAAAACTGGAAGTAACTCAACTTTATTGTAAGAAAAAAAATTAGTTTTCCATATTTAATCCTTACTAATTCTTAATAATTCTAAAAAAATTTAGACATAATGCTTCAGAGCATAATACAAAAAAAAATGTATCAACTCAAACATTTCAAACCAATAACAATGAACATTTACTATTAATAAGGGATAATTTTCCTGAAATAAATAAAAGTTACGAAAAGCTGAAAAAATGTTTGTATCCTGACTTATTTAGCATTCAAAATAACCAAAACGGTAAAAAATATATATGAATGAAATAAGTTTCTTAATTACATATTTATATTTTTTAATTACTAGATGTTAAAAATTTAAGTACAATACAAGATTGCCATCTAATTTTAGCCAAATTGATGGTGTTGGAAACTTTTGATGAAATCCAATCTTACTCATTAATTGAATTGGTAAATTAAAAAAAAAAACATAAAATAAAAATAAAATATTAATTTAAATTTTTCTATAATTTTTCAGTTATTTGAAAACTGTAAACATATTTTAGAATCTACAATTGAAATACTTCAAGAAACAATTGATGAAGAGGATTTTGTTAAAAGAGAAAAACAATTAATTTATAGTTACTTAAATTTAGATGAACAATGTTTTAAAAATAGGTTTTCTATGTAAGATATATATATATATTTACTCTAATCAACATTATTTTTTTATCAATTACATTTTTAGGTTTGATTTACAATTCTCTCATCTATTGGATTGCATATCAGTATTAACAACTATTTCTAATGTTGTCCCAAGAATTGTTATGGATCATACAAATAATTTATTTCAAACAATTGTACACTTTTTACAAATAATTGGATCACAAGTAATAATTATTACATTTGAATAATTTTGGTTTAACTATCTAACTTTTTTATTATTTCATTGTAACAGAGTCGTACCCTGGAATATATTTTGGTAATTATAGCACTGATAAAATTTCTTACAAATATATGTAGTTGTAATTGGGATATTACAAAACAAAAGTGAGTAATATAATATTTGAAATATGATTTTATTTATTTTTCATATTATAAACACTTTAGGCAATTAGAAATTTATGGGATAATTAAAGAAATAGTATTCTGTCGTCCATGCCTTAACATTGTACAAGAACTAATTAATTTATTAAGTAAAATTTCTATATATACAGAGATTACCGACAACCTATGTCAATTATCTGGTAAGTTATCTAATTTTAAAGCTTAAGTATATTAAATAAAATTAATTTAGATCTATATACTCATTTTTTAACATGATTTCCTTTAGACTGCCTTGTTGAACTTAATAATGTTAAATAAATTTTATAATGACTATATAATGATTTATGAATAAGTTAAACTATTTAAATATTTAAATAACACATATTTAGGACTTTTTATATTTCATTAAATACACTTATAAACTATATTATCAGTTGAATGGTGGACAATTTCCCCACAAAACATTTATGAAAAAAAAAAATGTTTAGTGATTTTTATTAGTTATTAATTATATTTTATGTAAATACCTATATAAAATTATTATTTTTATGAAAAAAATTTTTTTTTTAATTAGGGTGGTTATATCCTCATCGAAACATTTTTCGGGAAGAAAATGTCCTACTACACCAAAAACAGTCTGATAGAAATTGTCCAGTTAGTTTATCAGTCACACCGTTTTTGTTAAACTCAAATTTAAATTGATATTTAAAAGTAGTTCTTGAGTTTTGAATATTAAAAAATAATGTATATGGATTATATGCCCATAATTATAATTGACTTAGTATTTTATTAAATTTAACATTTTTATTCAAAATGCTAAATCAAAAGTTACATACAAATTGGAAATTGGATTTAAAAAATGAACAAGTATATTAGTTAATAGGCATCTTCAAAAAAATGTTGTTAATATAAAGCACAATATAATGATAATTTTAATTATTGGCTCCAGTTCACTAGGTATTTGGGTTACCAGAAACCAACTGTTTTTAATGCCAAATATCTTGTTAATATATTTTAAACACAAATTGTTTTCTTTAGTCGCAGAGGTATCAATTTGGGATATTGTTGAAGACTAATAATTAATTATCTTAAAATAAACTATATACCTACCTACCTAATGATTAAATTCATCAAAAAATTTAAATTTTAAATGTCTTGTTATATTATTAAATATCTCCACATTTATGATTAATATGATATTATGTATATATTTTTTTAGCCTCTAATACATTTATTCTATCGGACAGAGTTAGTACATTTACAACAGGTAAAACTTAACAGTTTTTTAAAATTTTGTTTTAAAAGTAATTCTATTATTAATAATTTAGGAACATGTGTTCTCCGTGTCCTTTGTCTTCAGCTAGAACTCCTCAAACACAGCAATCATCTTATTACAAATTATTTATATTTTGTAAATATCCTTCTAAATAGTACACATGTACCCAGATGGATGAACAAAACACCAAATAAAACATGTGATTGCACTGCATCTTTTATAGAATTAACTATACAGTTTTTATATATTGTCTTCAACATTTATGAAAAAGGTTAATTCGGGTAAAATTTGTTTAGAAAGGCTTTCTTAAAAATTAATATTTTTATTAACTATAAATGTTAATCGTTTAGAAAGAGAATCTTACGACATTGATCTATTAAAACTCATAGAAGAAATTGTTGAAAATAGTTACTCAATATTATATCGACTAGGAAAGTTAGATGAAGAGTTTCGTAGTCACATAAGTAAATGTAAGGGTCGTTATGATGTTATTGTACTAAAAATTCAAAAGCTTGAATTCAGAAAATCGAACAGTAAGAACTAGACTTAATTTATTTGTTAAATTGATTATATTAATATTTGTATTCATGCAGAATTTTTAGTAAAAGAATTGAAAAAGTTTGAATTCAAGTCATTAACACATAGCCAATACAGTTCTTCAATACCTTATGAAGTATTTCCAATTGACAAACCCAAGTTTACACAAAAATCAMAGTACCAATTCGATGAACCTAACAAACAAATTTCTGAAAATAATGTTTGAAATAACTATCAATGCATAAATTATATCATAGAACTATATGCAGGTGTGTATATTAATTAATATGGAATTGTAATATCTAGATTAAATATAGAATAAAAACATAAATTAAAATTTTTATTCAATAAGTTCCTCCTCATCACTGAAGTATGAATTTTTACGGTATACTTTTTTATGTAACACCTCAACTTTGCTGGACTGGTCAATAATATTCTCTTCCTGAAATAAAAAAATTAAATAACCAAACTATATGATAATTTATATAAATAATTATTAATTATTGATAGTAATGCTTACTTGTATTACTGCACTTAATGTCTCCATTTGAGATATATCACTTTCTTCTTCATCACTATTTCTTTCTTCATAGTTTTTAGTTCTATCATAAAATTCTGTATCCTCTTCTGAGCTATGATAAGATTCTAGATTCTGTAACAGAAGAAATAAATCATTTAAAATTTATAATAATTTGTTATTTTTTAAATGAAAAATTGTTCTTACTTTGCTACATCCTTCATTACCATCTAAGTTTTTCTTTTTTTTCTTTTTAGGTGGTGGCTGTCGTTCACCCAAACAATTTTCTGGACATTTGTAGCTAAGATGACCTTCTTTGCCACATTCGTAGCAAAAACTTTTGTCAGTATACTGACGTTTCCTGATAAATTCTGTACTACGGCCATTGTCTAGTGCAATAGAACTTTTTAACGTCCTTCCAAACATCTAAGACACAAATTAAACTGTTGTTTTTTAAGAGGTATAGATGGCTTAAATATTTTTGTGATAATATGGTATCATTACTTGTATGCCATTTGTAGATTTAACACACATGTTAGCTTCATTTTGATTAAGAAATAATATAAATGCCACTCCTTTACTTTGACGAGTTGTTTTATCTTTAACTATTGTAATTCTAATAAAATAAAATTATATTAATCACAAATTTAAGTGATTTATTAAAAATGGTGCAACATCTTGTTTTAAAATTAATACATATTTATTAATTACTTATGTAATTTGTATATTATTGTTTTTTTAATTTATTAATTTTATGAATAAAATAACTTTATAGTTACTAAATGTATGTTATATATTTACCTATCCCTGTTTTGTGACTATACATTTAATTTACCTTCTCAACAGTTTGCATACTACAAAATAATAAACTTGGATTTAATGTTTTGAAATATTTAAACTTCACAAAGGCCTAAAAATTCCTACACATAATCAATTAGCAAAAGCACATTACTCTAAATTTCACTCCAACTTAAACTCTCACACTAATCCATTAATAAAGCATCTTTCTTCCACCTCACTTCCTGGCAATGTACGCAGAAGACTAAAAAGGCAGTGGCCTAGAGACCTGCTAAAAAAAAAAAAATAAAAAAATAAAAACCCACGACATCTAAAATGTTCTCGATCAGGTGGTGCTGCTGAGTGCCTACCCCTAAATGCTAAATTCTGCTATTTCATATTATATAAATTATCAAATTTGCTCATTGTACATAGTTGTATAGATTGTAAATTACTTAAATATATAAATAAAAAAAAATATTTAAATGAATTCTACTTCAAAATTAAAAACTTAGTTTTTAAATAATCTAAATATTACAGCTCCTAGCTGATAATTATACTTTGTCTTATTTCAAAAAAATTAATTAATTCTACTAATTGACTCTGAAAATAATATTTGGAAAAAATGAAATGACAAAAATGAGCATTGTTAAAAATATGTTTAACGTTGTTTAATTTAACATAATTTAATAAACAGAGTGATTTTTTAAGCAGACTCACCTTATTTTTATTCTTTGGAATTAGGTTAAATTTGGTTTACAAGACCATAATTTCAAATACTTTGGATTTTTTATCAGATATTTAATTTTTTTAGAATTTTGATGTATCTAAATTAAAAATCAAGTTTTTTTTTTGAATTAAATAACTTTGTCTACTAAGGATATACCTATGTGATTTTAGTTTTTTTAGTTAATATAAAGTCTTTGATTGTAAAAATGATTTTGGTTTAATATCTACTACTCTTAATATAACACATATTTTATATTTTTGCTAAGCCATTTTAAGAATGGTTATATTAAATATTTAAATTTTATTTTAATAACTCAAAAACTTTTGATAGTTGATTAGAAACACGTTTTTTAGACATACTTGTAAATTTTAATAATGTGTACTTGAATAAATTTACTATTTAAAAAAAAAAAAAAATGAAAACAGTGGTGAGCATAATTAAAAATCACACTTGCATTAAAACCCAACTTAAAAACTTCCATGCCAAGCTTAAAGACTCGGACGGCGTCCATCATTACCAATTAGGAAGCAAAACCTAAACTAGAAGGCTACAACCTCAACTGCCCCAAGACAAACTCCCAACGGACACTAAAGAGCTCTCATCAAAAGTTGAAGAATAACCAATACTATTAAACTTATAACTGTGAACTGATATCATTATTGCCATTAATATAAATGTAAATATTAAATTGTAATTGTAATAGCACCTAATATGCTGAAACATTTAAAAAAAAATTACATTGTATGTTGTTTGATAAAGTAAATTTGTATTTTTTGATTTATTTTGTTTTTGCTATTTTAATATTCCAGTTTTAAAAATATTTAATATGATAATTAATTTAAGGTATAGAGAAAACAACTTTTATTTAAGAAAAATACAAAGCGGACTGCCTGTTGAACAAGTAGCCTTTAATGACACAGTTTACAAACCAGACATTTCATTATTGGGTTATTTGTAGATAAAATAATATGTAGGTATTTAATCAAGTCATCATAATTATGTTAATATAAATATTATGTTTGTTTGATACGTAAAAATATTTAGGTTGAAGAACATTTTAAGAAGATATCATTTAAAAAAAATTGATTTTATTCCAAGATAAAATCAAAAATTGATTTAATACGAAGTTTTAGAAACAGCAAATCTATATTATAGAAATGTTTTAATTCATGAATTTAAACTGTCTATTATTATTCATGACTCTATAAAATATTATTTAATGCAAGCTCTGCATGATGACATATTGAAATGTCTAAATGTTTAATTATGTGCTTATTAGTTTAAATAAAGTTTTAGACTGTGGGGAATATTCTAATGTGTGTATGAATTTTAACTTAAAAGACATACCTAATAAAAAAAAAAAAAAAAAAACAAATACTTTTAAAACGCTTATAGGTACCTACTTAACTATTTTGCCATATTTTTCAAATACTTTATGTAAATCGTTGTTTGTCAAATTGAATGGAAGATTTGAAACATATACCGTACATTTGCTTGGAGCTAATTTATTCATAATTAATGTGAATTAAAAAAAATAAACTAACTTATCATTTACCTAATAGAACACTAGGGTACATATAAACAAGTATTAGTACAGTTGCAACTAACGTAAATACTAATTAAAAAAAAAGTATTCCACTTAAAGTTTTTAACTGACGATCCATATACAACTAGTTATATAGAAGCAGAGCCGCAGAATTATTATTATTTACTATAATACCTATAACAATATAAAACATAATATACCTAAAGAACTCTACTCTGTGATACAAACGTAGCAATACTAGCAATACTGTGGCGGTCGTAACTCGCAATACACTCAATACTGGCAAGTGGCAACAGTGGCAACCACTACATACACACACAACTACACAAGCTTAGCGTCTAGAGACCATAGATATTATCATTTATCAGCAAAGAACAAACATTATCAGTATCACTATCACTGTAGTTCGCTTATCACGTTATATAAATCTAAACATGWACAACTGGGTAATTGAAAATTTACTATATATGAGGAAGAGTCACTTTCACTCTTTACTTCGAACAATAATTTATCCATCTCTAATTTTTTAATTTTTTTTTCATTATAGATATTCTGAGCTRTAGCATATCGTGAATATACATGTTTAACAAACGTTTCTGGTCGTCCGTGTAAAAATGAAGGTATTTTATTTGATATTTGTTTATAATATGATGAAAGTTTGTACCAGGATGTTCGTTTGAAGATTTACTACAAACATTTTTGAAACAGTGTTACAGTTTTGAATGAAAATAATGAAAATGCCATTACCTCTATTAATCCAAATTCGAGTACCAATGAAAATATTTCAAATATACCAGCCCAATGTCGAGAATTGAAAATAAATGATTTAACTATTTTAACTTACATCATAGACGAAACACGAAAAACAACATCTAAATAAAAAGACTAATTTAACCTAACCTAATTTGTATTATTATAATATTTAACATGACAAAATAAATTTTGTAATAATTTAAAAATAATTATTAATAATAATTTATTTTGTCAAGTAAGATTTAGGTATTAAGATATAGGTGACACTATCATAYTATTATGTGATAACAATGATAAAATAAAAATGATAACACTTTGGTGCTGTAATCGACTGTATTTATAACGACCCAGAGTTCAATGGTTACAGCACAGAATATCTGTGTTTAGTGTTTACACTGTTTACAGATTGCAGATTTAATTACCTACGTAAAACTATTTACGTTTAAAATAGTATATTCTATCCACCATGCAATTTTCGACTTAAGTTGAACTATTCATAGGCATTTGAAATTTTCGATCATTATWAGTTTTTTTTAAATTAATATCGATAAAAATGTATTTGTTTGGCAGAAAAGCCTGAAAATTTAATACAAGGCTCTTAACATATT